AATGGTCATGGATCCAAGTAGTAAGAAATGATTTAAGTGCTAATAATTTTACAATAGATATGGCATTAAACAAAATGGAATGATGAAATAGGATTCATGTAGTTGACCCCATATAATTGGGATAAGGCTTGGATGATGATGATGATGATTTTATGCTTTGTATTTGCTCTCTTTTTTTTTTTTAATTTGAAAGTCTATCCTCAAAATAAATGTTGCATTAAATTCTATTTTGGCATTATTTAATAGTATCATTGAGAAGGCCCGTGCACCTAGAATTAAAACAAGATCAGAAAAATGCCAGAGTGCATTTAGAATATTTTTATTTATGTGATAGGCTAATACCACTTTGATTGAAAGGAAAACTCTAAAAAACATTTATAAGGTTATCTATGTTAAGATAGATGAGTGCAACAACTAGAAAGAATAAGGTAAAAAATGAAGTCATTGAAGGAACTTAGGAATAGCTCCAATAGGTATTGAAATTAGAAAAAGTAAACTAAGTTGGTTTGGTTATGTGCAAGGAAGACCTTTGACAACAACCTTAAGAAGTGATCCGTTGGAAGTTAAAGAAGCTAGAAGGAATAGGGGTAGACCAAAAAGAAGGTGGGTTGAAATTATTAGGAAATGATTTAAATGTTAATAATTTAACAATGGGTATGACAATAAACAAAATGGAATGATAAAATACAATTTGTGTAACCCACCCCATATAATTAGAATAAGGCTAGGCTTGGATGATGATTCCAATTACATGGGTGAGAGGTTCGTTTTCAATTTGTTAATTAGGTTGCATTATTCAACCCAATTAATTATAAATGCAAGTTAGGATTTAAAGTAACTTGATAGAAAACCCCAGTATATTGCAGGTTATAAGTAATGGGCTATATATTCTATAATTAGCACAAGAAAACATTTTTTTCCTTAAGGCTGTGTTTGGTTGCAATGCATTTTATTTGCACTAGTACAAATGCATGGGAGTGCAAATGAAAAAAATGCAAATTCTTATTTAATTTGATTTTGAGTTTTACTTTACTTTACTTCATGTCTTCTTTACTTCATTGTTAGCACCCGATTTTTGCTCGGTCCCTTTTTTGATCCATCTACTACATTCCAGATGTCCAATCGGACCACGCCCATCACTTTAAAACATGCCAAAACCCTAAGAAACCAAATTTTGGCCCAAATGCCCATAAATTCAATATTAAATCTACATGATTCCCTCTCGATGGTCTTGATTATGCCACATCACCATACTTGATCCCTGATCAAACTCCACCACATGAACGAAATCCTTAAACAATCAATCGCACAAAATTTCAAACCTAAATTCTTGGATTTAGCCAATCATCCATCAGAGTTTTCTTTTCGATGCATATAACACTATGATGCTCCTCGGACCTAAAACCAATGATCTGCACATACCTAACATAATCAAACCCTTTCAGCAGCCTGATAAGCCCAATCCATACCTACCCACCAAATTTTATCCTAAAATTCCCCCGTTTGACCATCCCGTCAAGCCTAGATCCTATTTCAGCAAATCTCATTAATTAAAGTTTACCATCCATTACCTCAAGTTCATATGACCAATTAGACCTTACCACTGTGTTCAAAAACCCAAAAAACCCTAGCACATCAAATTTTACAACCAAACTCCTCCGTTTGACCGTTAAAAAAGTAAGATTCCATTTTGGGTCCTTTCGTTGAGTGGAAGACCATAAGTTAAGACCACGATCTGAACTAAATCAATCAATCTATACCTCTTATCAAAGATTCATTACTTCCATCAGGTTTGAGATGATAAAAATGCTTACCCATCAAATTTCATCCCAAAATTCTCCCGTTTGACCCTTCATTAAACAAAGATTTTATTTCAGCAAGTCTATTGATCCAAACTTGTTAGCCATAGATCTCAATCATCTCGACTCTATTTATCCGATCAGACCTCACCATTGAATTTAGAGACCCAAAAAACTAGCACGCCAAATTTCATGACCAGATTAATCTATTTGACCGTTAAACTAGAACGATACCATTTCATCGTACCAAATTAAATTTCCACTTCATTTGTCCCAACCTCAAGCCTCGAAAGGGTGATGGCTGATGTTAGACCCATTCTTGACTCATTAGAACACTTGGACCAATGAAACAGGGCCTAATAAACCCAAAAAGCTCCAAAACACTAAGATATCCCTACTTAAAACCAAGAAAAGACAAAATATCATTTAAAAGTTCATTAAATTTACATTTTCTGCCACTAACAACCCCAAATATGAGATTGCCATGACAAGCACGCCCCAAGCTTCCATTGGATGCACAAAACCCATGAAAACCACCCCCAAATCATAGAAAATGTTTCACCAAACAGGAAAATTTGATTGGGCATCTATTTCTTTGAAAAATCTTTGCCTATTTGTGTGAGAAACCTCTATTGAATCCCAAGTATTGTAGCTGAACAAATTCAGACTTTACCCCCTCCCATTCTCTACAAATATTGATCTAATTCGAGCTCACAAGGGAGAATAGGGGAAGAAACCTAAGGGAGGCCCCAAGAGAGATAGGGAGGGACAAAGAGAAAGGAAAGCTTTCTCTTAGCCCATACTGCCTCTTGTTCACCCGAAATTCGGAGGTACTCTGAACCTCAAATTCTGAACTCGCCTTCTCCATTTTCAAGTAGAAATTATTGCAACCAGAAGCACTCCCTAACTCAAGAACCCATTTAAACTTCATTATGTCTCATTCCTAATTGTTGGAAAACTATTAACAAGGTACATATGGAAGGTAAGTCTTTTTTTAGTTTTTCTGAGTTGCTTGAAGTTCTGAGACCTTGGAGAAGCATTGTTCTCGACTTCTTCTAGACTAAGTATAGAGGTAGAGAGACGATGATCTTAGGGAAATTAGTACCTAAGACCCGATAACATCACCTCAAAATCGGTGTCAGGAGAAGCTGGGAGAACGCTTATTCAAGTTTTATAAATTCTGGCAACTTTGTTTATTGGTTTTTCAAAAGAAATTGAGCTTGAACAACTCCTGTATAGGGCTACTACAACAACTTGGAGAGAGGGGTGCCTAATACCTTTCCTCTTCCAATCCTCAGGACCCGAAAATCTCTCAATTGTGTGTCTTTTCCATGGAGAATAGTGTCATTATCAAATACTTAAATCAAAATTTGAAAATTTGAAAATAAAGGCCCATTTCCTCTAAAAATGGGTGCCGATTCCATCCTTTAGAGCCGGCCATGAACTTCCCAGAGCCCACAATCATTTATATTGCAATCAAACAAAATAAGCTAAAATTTGAAACAGAAATATATCAAAATTTACATTCAATTCATTTGCACTTCCATGATTTTGCATCAGTGCGAATTTATTTGCGTTGCAACCAAACACAATATAAAATTCACAAGCAGATTGAAACTTATATATTAAAATGTATAGAATGCTAAGAAAATTAATTGAGGATATATTCCTTGGTAGAGTATAGTGGTGAGAGAGGATTTATGTAGCCCACAAAAGGTAGTATTTCATAACCTGAATATGTATATTTTGATACATATTATTTCACATTAAATATTTCATTGAATTTTTTTCATGATTTTGTCACACTTTTTTTTTAGATTATTTTCGCATGTAATATCTAAAGTTTTTTATAAAAAAAATACTATTAGATGGAAAAATCTATGATGCCAGAAAAATATGATATTAGAAAAGCTTTGACCAATTAAATTTTTCCATAAATTTTGTTAAAAACCCACATCATTAGTTACCATTTTTATAATGCTAGTTGATTGGTTATAAGTGTTTTTGGTGACATTTCTAACGGACATCATAGTTGAACCCTAAGTTACGAGAAAATTTTGTCCACTGAAAAAGAATGAAAATAAATCAACACTTAGATTGGAATCTTTTGCCTTGAGGGAGAAAAGAAGAGAGGGTATCTTGCCCTTTAGGCACAACGGCAAATAAATGGTACATGGTCCCACCGGTTCATGTATACTGTTGTAATGTAGGGATGCATATATATGCATGATTCAAATACGACCTGATTATAATTGGATCGAATGTGGATCCATGGTTCAAATACGACCTGAATATAATTGGATCGAATATGGATCCACCCTTTTCCATTCCAATTGATGTCACTCAGTTGGATTTAAATATATGTTCATAAATACTTAAAAGTTACATTGTATGTATCCGTCAAGCTGTTTTAAATGTTCTATCATTTTTGTTAAATTATCGTAATTTTAAGTTTCATCCAAATTATTTTCAATTCATTTTGCTTAAAAAATCAATATTAAAAGTCAATTTTAACTCATTTTATTAATAATATATAGTATTTAATTATTTTTAATTTAATTTACAATCCGCTTGTAATCCAAATTCGATCAGAATCGGAGTCTATATCCGATTGGACCCGATCCGGTTGCAGCCCTAGCGTAACGGTGGAGCCAGACCTTATCACTAGGAGAGACATGCTGAGTTGGAAAAGTGGGGCCCATATCATTTTTGAGGGTATGCAAATTATAGGCTTATAGCCCAGATTCAAGATATAAAGGCGACAGGTTAGAGAAGATTATACCATTGCATTTAGATATTTCTTACAGAGAGATGATGAACAGATTGTACCAAGTTTGCTTCAGAATCCAGATACACATTATCAATCACCTCACCAGTATATCGATCGATCGAATGGTAGTGTAGTGCAGTGCCTATGGGCTATGGTCTATGGATTTTTACTAACATAACCCGGGTTCTATTGCGTCACGTGATTTACGTCTGCTGACGGAAAGGGAGCGAAGAAAAAAAGCCATCTTCTCTAGGTCTCTTCAAAGTTCAAATCAATAATGCATAAAGGAAAAGAGAAAAAAAGTGAGGGTACTTAAGTCATTTTTTACGGCGAAAAAAATATTCTGAAGCATCTTTACCCTGGCGAGGCCACGGTGGCATTTAATTCTAGCGAGACGACTGAAAATTCCGCAAATAACCCTTTCCGCCGCTTCTCTTTCTTTCCCACGCCCCCAAAACAAACCCAGAAACCCTCCCCCCCCCGGCTCTCTCTCTCTCTACTCTCTGGTCACTAGTCTCTGTCTCTCACTTCCCCAGTTAGATACTGACCAAAAATCAGCAGCAGGAAGAAGGCAAAAGAGAAATAAAGAAAAGGAAAAAAAGGATAGAGACGAAAGAAAAGAAGGAAAGGAAATAACGTAAGTCTAGAGAGAAAAATCCCGGTTCTGGAATTATCAGACAGTGTGAAAAAAGAATAGTTTGGTTCTTTTCTTCTCCGGCATGCTTCCACAACAAACCCAGCCGGAATCCGACCGTCCGGCAACGACCATCCAGCCTTCCTCTCCACGCTTCCCATTCTCTGCCTCGGGAACACCCACATCAGGCGCCCACCGTAAGATCGCGATCGCCGTCGATCTCAGCGACGAGAGTGCCTTCGCCGTAAAATGGGCCGTCCAGAACTACCTCCGCCCAGGTGATGCCGTGATTCTACTCCATGTTCGGCCCACTAGCGTCCTTTACGGTGCTGACTGGGGCTCCATTGACCTCTCCGTCGAAACCGACGAGGAGTCACAGCAGAAGCTCGAAGATGACTTTGATGCCTTCACTACCACCAAGGCTACCGATCTGGCTCAGCCCCTAGTCGAAGCCCAGATCCCTTTTAAGATCCATATCGTGAAGGACCACGACATGAAGGAGCGGCTTTGCCTGGAGGTTGAAAGGTTAGGGTTGAGTGCGGTGATTATGGGCAGCCGAGGGTTCGGTGCCTCCAAACGCACCAGCAAGGGACGCCTCGGCAGCGTTAGCGACTACTGCGTGCATCACTGCGTCTGTCCCGTGGTTGTTGTTCGGTATCCTGATGAGAAAGATGGAGCTTCTGCTGCAGCTGATGCCGCTGACTCTGAGGCCGCAGCCAAGGCGGCTGCGGTGGATAAGGAGGCCGAGCTTCATCCTGTCCCAGAGGAGGAGCAGGAGTATCACGATGCCTCCGACGAACATAAAGGTTAGGTCTTTTTCTTCTTTTGATGGATAACTGGGGGCTTCGGATTTCTGTTTTGTGGTTAATTGAACCAAAATAACAAGGCATCTTTCTTTCATTAGGGCTTGCGGTAGGTGCTTCTATCTGATGGCTAGCAAGCTTCTCTTTGATAGAAATTGGGGTTTACGGGTTTCTAGATTTTATTGATAAGAGATATTTTCATTTTGGGAATTTTCCGTTTGGGATTTATGTAGTTCCACAAACAGATTGACTGTTTTTCTGTGGGTACTCTGATGCCAGACGTGTAGTGCACATGTAACTGCCATGGGTTTTGTCTTACATTATAGGTTTCTTGTGCATAACATTCCTTCCGGTGGCTGTTCATTGTTTTCCTCTATGTTTCGTGTCTTGTATCATTCATTTTGATTGATGCTATACCCTCTTTTGTAATTTAGCCCAAATGGATTGAATGGTTACAAGCTTTTTTTAGTAAGTATATTTAGTTAATAAGGATTTGCCTGGTATGTAGTAATTTGTGATAGTGCTTCTTGTATTAGTTTGTAGATGAAGTATTTTCTGTTARAGTCTTGTTAATTATTATTGGGGTATCCAATCATGTGCA